CTTGATTCGTCGAACTTCGTTTCCTCCTCTCCTCCTTTCAGCTACACCCCAAGAGGTGTAGAAGAGGGCGAGGGGGCAAAGACGAAGCAGGAGTGCAACTGTCAAGCTTGCCTGCTGCACTGGTGCACGACCAGAGTGCCAAGAACTACAAAGATAACGGACATGCACGCGCGCAGGGGAGAGCGGTGCAAGGAAATTCAATGTACTTAGGGAACAAGACGAGGCTTCTCCCTCTCGGTCCTCCTGTTGATCCTCTCCTCCTCCGTCCTTACCCCGTTCATCCTCATCATAGTGTTCCTACTCCTCTTCATCATCTCCTCCTCCTCCTCCTCCTCATCATCATCATCATCATCATCATCATCATCAGCATCAGCATCAGCATCATCATCATCATCACCACCACCAGCATCATCATCATCATCATCATCAGCATCACCATCGTCATCAACATCATCAGAATCATCATCAGCAGCATCATCATCAGCATCATCATCAGCATCAGCATCATCATCAGCATCATCATCAGCAGCATCATCATAAGCATCAGCATCATTAGCCTCGCTAGTATGGTCATATCGTTTGTGAGTGCTGAATGTCCTAGTAGTTGCGCAACATGGAGACGGGGTGTTTTGACACGATGGTTCTCGCTTCAAATCTTAGAGCGCGAAAAGGTTCTAAGTACTGTCATTGCTGGTACTTGCTCATGCTCTACGATCGTGAATATTGCGCTTCCCAACGGCAGCAAACATACAAAGGGTGGGCAACTCATGCTCGAACTCGTGGTCTCTCTTGGGAAGTCCTCTGTTGAGGGATCACCCGTGTTGGACTATCAACAACTGCGCTGATGGAGCCGTCAGTCCAATTGGAGGTTCCACGGCGATTTTGGAGGGAGGGAGGGAGGAGGATGAGGGAGAGAAGGACGGATGCCTGCTCTTCATCATTACCCTTGTTCGTCCTCCATCGTCCCTTCTTCCTCATCCTCCACCCTCCTCCCTCCTCCTCCTCCAACTCTTGCCCATGATCCTCATTATCTTCCTTCGCCTCTTCTCGACCACCAGACCACCAGACCACACGTCTTGGAACCTCCAATTGGACTGACGCCCTGATGGACAGCTGCTCCTCCCAAACTCGCCACACCGCCTTGATCCCGCGCACTCTCTGAACGGCGATTGCAAGCTGGACGGATGAAGGGCGATCCCCTCTCGGACTCGTCGAACTGCGCTGCGACCCCCCTTGCCGGACCGCCGATGCGCGCTGCAGATCCGAGAGGGCTCCCACCGTCCAAGTCATGCTGCTGCCCGCCACAGGGACGCGCGGGCATGATTCGTTGATCCATTCATCCCGAATCCCGAAGGTTCTGGCGGCGCCACAGGAGAATACAGCAATTCCAGCCCTCCCAGGTCGTCAACCTGCTGCCCAGAGCGTCCACGTCGTCGTCGTCGTCGTCGTCGCCTTTCAGAGTCGGCGGCACAGGCCGTGCGGACTCCGCAATATTAGATTCCAGCACTCCCAGGGCTGTGAATCTGCGGCAGGCATAGTGGTCCCTCTCCTCTCCAGCAGCCACTCGCCGCTGAATGCCATGGCTCTATTGACTTGTAAAGGGGGCAATTCGACCAAGAGGGCGCATGGCAGTATCAACCATGTGCTGAATTTACCACGGTCACCCTGGACCTCCTACCCCTCCTCCCCTGCTTCCTTTCTCCTCCTCTCTTCCCCGCCTCCATCCCCTCCTCGCAACCGCCTCTCCTCCTCGAACTCCTGCTGTTGATGTTCATGCGTTTGCTCCTGCACCACCTGCACCTCCGGCACCACCTGCACCACATGCACCTTCTCTCCCCTCCTCCTCCTCCTCCTCCTCTTCTTCTTCTTCTTCTTCTTCTTCTTATTATAATTATTATTCTTATTATTATTATCGGAGGTGAGGGGGTGAGATCGAAGTGGAACGGAGAGCCCCCCTACCGGGAAATCGATTTCGGTTTCGTGTTCGTGCGTGCCGTGCGGGCGAGGCGACGCTGCGTGGGCGGGCGAGAGAAAGTCTCCTGTGGCTGAGGCGCGGCCGGACCAAATGATTCCCTTCCGGGCGGCCGGGGCCCCGCGGTGTCCCGCCGGTGTCCCGCCGATGTCCCGCTGGTGTCCCGTCGCGAGATCGATAGTGAGGTCAATTGTGAGATCGATAGTGAGATCGATAGTGCGATCGATTGTGAGATCCACAGTGATATCGATAGTGAGATCGATAGTGACATCGATAGTGAGATCGATAGTGAGGCCGAATGTGAGATCGATTGCGAGATCGATAGTGAGATCGATTGTGAGATCGATAGTGAGACCGAATGTGAGATACATTGCGAGATCATTAGTGAGATCGATTGAGATATCGTTGGTGAGGTCGGTTGTGATTTCCATTGCGAGATCATTAGTGAGGTCGATTGTGATATCGATCGTGAGATCGATTGTGAGATCGGTACTGAGACCGAATATGCGATCGATTGTGATATCGATAGTGAGATCGATAGTAAGACCGAATGTGAGACCGAGTGTGAGATCGATAGTGAGACCGATCGAGTGAGACGTTGGTTCCTCCCCCCCCGAACCTCCTTATCACCCGAAGGGTGGTCGTATAGGTCATCATTATCATTCTTCGTATTTTTCTTATTTTTCTTCTTCTTCTTCTTCTTATTATTATTATTATTCCTCCTCCTCCTCCTCCTCCGCCTCCTCCTCCTCCTTCTCCTCCTCCTCCTCCACCACCTCCTCCCCCTCCTCCCCCTCGATTCGATTCGATTCGACATTGGGGCTTGTCACACGGGAGCCCATGCAAGGAACTCAGTACACGAAGAAAGTCATGTCGTAGCACCGCTGCACGATGACCAGGGTGAACATGTCACCAAAAAGAATTCAAGATTCACCATTTGAGTATGTACATCATCAGTAGCCACACCCAGCAGTGAAAATTGAACTGAGAACCACCATAGGTACTCGTCGCACTCTGGCCCAACTGCCTTGAGATAGACGTTCCAATCCCATACGGTGGCCATATCTCAAGATATCTGCTGCATGAGGATGATATGTAATAGTTCAGTCATGTTGCCCAATTCGGCCACGGTCGGTACTCTCTGCCACTCCTTGCCACATATTTGGAGTGGTGAGCAGTGCGTGCCGTGGCCGACGCGTACATCTCTAGAGGAAATCGTATTCTTCCCGTGGAGACAAAACCTGGCCGTCCTTGTTGGAAGCTTGCTCCTGGACCTCCTTGCCTTCCGAATTGTCGGCATTGTCGATCACCTCAGGATACTCGACCGTCGGTACTTCTGCCTCCTCCATATCCATTTTCTGCTTGTCCGTGTCTGGCTTGCGCACCCATGGGCGGCGCACTGGCTTACGTACTGGTGCAGGAGGGCTTGGCGGCATCGGTCCATAGGCGATATCCCATTGGCCATCAGCGCTGCCACTGGCTCCAATATCAGTTGATGCTGCCTTGGCCCTCGCTTTTGACACCGCTGCTGGTGCCACTGGCGGTCGTGCTTTAGCACGAATACGGACAAGCTTCTTCCTGCCATCCTGATCAAGTAGGGCCCATCCTGAATGATGAAGAAAGTGCAACCACATAGGATGCTCTAAGTCTTCCTCAGTGATCTCAATCTCCTTTGTGTCGTCGGTCGCTGCTCGAAATCGAATCATTGCTGGACTCGGTGGCTTGGGAGCATCTGCAGGGTGTTTCTTGAAGGTATTCTTTCCAGAGTGCTTTGGTGGCTGGGCTCCTTCTTCTTGAGATGCTGCCGTTGCCGACGTAGTATTCCCTGTCGATTGCTCTGCCACAGTATCTGGCACTTGTTTGTGAGTATCCGTCTCCACCTTATTAATAGTCTGCACAACAAGGCTGTCCTCTATGCCAGTCTTGCGCGCCTCATCCATTTGCCATGGACGAAGAAGAAGGTGAGGCGGAAGATGTGCAACATACCCATAATGCGGTGTGCGCGAGTTAACGAAGTTAACATCGAATAGTGTCGGGTACGTCGTTCGTAGCCTGTGGTAGCAGTCACTAAGCGTCCTCATGTCATTCGATACCTGCAGTAGATGCTGCTTCTCTTCCGTAGTAACCAACCATTCATGTGTGACACGATTGATGGCGCACTGTGCCTCGTAGAAGCGTGACCACTTGAGCTGGAGCTCGCGGCTGACACTCTGCATGCTCATGATGTGGTGCTGGGCGGACTGGATGAGCTCCTGAAAGGCTTTGACGTCGCCATACCCGCTGTGGATGATCTGCTCCAGTCTCTGACCCATACCATAGCCACTTGGTGTCACATCTGGCACTGGATATTCCTCAGTGCCTCCCACATCCTCTGTAAAGTTGAGCTGATTGCGAAATCTGTCCATTGGCTCGACCGGGCCACACGTGCTCCTCAAGAGCGTAAAACTTGAACCATAAATATGGCTATTCACTCGACGGTGCTTCAGCTCCAAGATACGGTGTTTGACTCATTCGCCTGTCCTTTGTTTTCATTCTTAGTGGAGGTCCAAAAACTTTTATGGGTGGCCTCTGTGCGTAATCGTCACACCTGCCCTGGGCCCTGTTGCGTGCTTGTGCTTTATGCGTGCTATCCTGGTCGAGCTCCTCCTGCGTGGGCAGTGTGTGCTGCAGTGCTTCCTTCCATGGAATGGTACATGAGGGAACTTGTTTGAGGTGTTTTATGAGGCGCCCCCTCTCTCTGAAGTCTTTCATACATATTTGACATATTGTACCTGGAGCCCAGTATTTAGGATCGTCCACTGGTGCATGTTGTTTAGTAACATGTTGGCGAAGTACTCTTAACGATGCAAATACAGCTCCACAGTCGTAACATACATGCTGGGGAGGCGGTGGTGCTGGTGGTACTGCCTGTGGTTGGCTGTCCTGTCGATCAATGAGGTCGTTGACGTGCCTGACCGCTGCAGACTTGATCATGTTCCTTGCTGGTCCAGGATGCGTGCGAAAAAGATCTATCCAGCCCCTGATTCCATCCCCTAATGTTGGCCTCTTTTCAATTGGAGTATACTGGTTAAGCCATGCATGTCCTCCTCCTCCTCCGCCTCCTCCTCCTCCTCCTCCTCCTCCTCCTCCTCCTCCTCCCTGTCCTCCCCGTCCTCCCCCTTCCCCCTCCCACCTCCCCGTCCTCAGCCTCCTCCCCCTCTCTTCTTGTCCCCCATCGTCCCCCACCCTCTCCGCCCTTTTCCTGTTCCTGCTGTCGATGCTCCTCCCCTCCCTGGTCGGACGCGACGATACGAGCGAATAGCCCAGGGCGGGCATTACATGCATCCTTCCGGAAGCCTCGCCAACAAAATTAGCGATCGGCGCTCTTGGACATTGGCCCCTGGGATATTCCTCCCTTTCGTCACCTCCAATCCTGGGCAAACTTCGCCCTGGACCCGCCCGCTGCGACCTTCCGGCGGACCATTCGGCGCGGGCTTCTGGTCTGCGCCCCACGCGCCTGCTGGGTTTGAGGGGGGGAGGAGAAGGAGACGGGGGAAGAGGAAGACTGAAAGGAGGAGGAGGACGGGAAGGACGAGGGGGTGGAAAGGGGGGGAAAGCCTGAGGGGGAGGAGGAAGAGGAGGAGGTGTTGTTGGGGAAGGGCCTAAAGTCGAGTTCCTCGAAAAACAAACCGAAATCCGAGACCTCCGAATCCGACTGGCCAAGCTCCTCGGACGGGCTTCGAATCGGAGCTTCCCCTCTGGCCGTCACCCACGGGGGGTCGGCCTCTGCTAGGCCGAAAGCTTCCAGAATCAGCTCTCGCGAAGCAAACCCCGACGCAAAAGCAAAAAGATAGGGACCTGGCTCGATATGGGGGGCCCGCGCGTGCTCCGCCAGAAATTGAGCCAGCACCCGACGCTCGACGAGATCCAGGCCCTCGTGGGCCCCCAGGAGTCAAGTCCTTGAGGTTCTTCTAATGTCGTCATGCAAGGAGAAAATATGCGCCGACGCTTGAGCCAAACCGCTGCGACATCTCCTATGTGGGTAAAGCGGAGGAGGAAGAGGAGGAGGAGGAGGAGGAGGAGGAGGAGGAGGAGGAGGAGGAGGAGGAGGAGGAGGAGGAGGATGGTGGGAGGGAGAGAGAGATGGAGGAGGAGGAGAAAATGAAGGAGGAGGAAGAGGAGGAAGGGGAAGAGGAAGGAGAGAAAGGGGAGAAGGAGGCGTCGTCGTCGTCCACCGTCATCTGCTTCGACGCCCTCCTCCGTCCTCCTCCTCGTCTTCTCCTCGTCCTCCCTCTTCCTCCCTCCTCTTCCTCCTCTTCCTCCTCCCTCCTCCCTCCTCCCCCCTCCCTCCTCCTCCCTCCCTCCTCCTCCCTCCCTCCCTCCCTCCTCCCTCCTCCTCCTCCTCCTCCTCCTCGTCCTCCTCCTCCTTGGGCTCCTAGCCGTGCGGCGTTCCCGCTTCCAGACGGCCGCCTGCGCCGCTGGGCCTGCGACCGCGCGCACTCACGCGGCGCGAGCCCCTCGGCGCCTGAGGATTCGAGCCGAAGCGGCTCCCACGTCAGGTTCTGGATCATCCTCCTCCTTCTCATCGTCCTGGTCATCGTCGTCTTCTGTCGTCGTCGTCCTCGTCCTCATCGTCGTCCTCGTCGTCGTCGTCGTCGTCATCGCCGCCGCCGTCGTCGTCGCCGACGCGAAGGGTCACCGAACGGGCTCTTCTGGCACGGGGCGGGCGGGTCCCCAGAGGGGAGGGGCCCGTCTGGAGGTCTTCTCGCCGCGTTCGGGGCCCCGGGGCGCTCCACGGGCCCTGGGGCCGTCGAGCCTTCGCCTGGCGAGGGGCGCAAACTTCCCAGCTGCGTGCTCAGACCACTTCTCATCACCAGTTCTCTGGATTCCACAGGGACGAGAGTCGAGAGGGGTTCAGGAGGAAGGCGGAGGAGTAGGGTGAGGAGGGAAGAAGGTGGAGGAAGGAGGAGGATAATGAAGAGGAAGAGGAGGGGGAGGAGGAAGACCACTGCAAACCCACGACGCACCAACAAATGTGGCAACAAACCGCCCATCCAACCTCAAATGTCCCTACAAACCTTTCTTTGAAAGACGACAGTCAGAGAACACCCAGCCGTGCCCAAACACAGGTCCTGGAACTTCCACGCTGCGAATCAACGTTCCTGTTACGTCCTGACACCCCCAAACCGCGCCAGAACACGATTCCTGGAACTTCAGCCCTGCGAGCCAACGTGACTGCTGCGTCCTGACAATCTTAAACAATGCCAGAAGACAATCCCTGGAATTTCAACCATACGAAACTTCGAGACTGATGAAATATTTATAACGCATGTGCGCGGCGCTGAAACAAGAGCCTCATTTTCAATATGAACCGCCCTCCACCCTTGAAGAAAACGAATGCGCGCGGCGCTGAGGCGAGAGCCACATTTGAAAACGGCCCTCCATCCTTGGAGCTGCTGCACACTTTCCAGACGAATGTACCCGCCGCGGCGGTAAGGCGAGCACCACATGTTTTGCTTCGCCCTCTGTCCGTGAAGCTGTTGCAACCTTCTGAGACGAACGCGAGCGGCGAAACAGCGAGCACACCAGTTTGAAAACGACCTGCCCTCCACTCGTGAAACGGTTGCACGTCTCATGCGAAACGCCCAGGCCGCCCTACCCACACCTCTCGGGGTGCCACCCGCTGCAAGAGAAAAGCATGGAGGAGGAAATTCTGCTGCTGGAACCAGCCTCGCACTCCTTGCCCCCGGCCAGCCGTCAGCACGCTGAGAAGGCGCCCCACGCCCGCCCCGTCTTCAATCCAAGAGCCTCCCCCAGAAGGCGCCGCCCTCCCACTGTGCAGCCAAGCCGCATCACGCATCACAAGGACGCACGAGGAGGATGCAAGGGCCTTGGAAACCCAAGTCGAAACTTTGCGGGCGGGTCGCCGCCAGCGACAGCGGCCGAGGATGGGCCGAAGGGGAAGGATGCAGGGGTGACCTCGGAAAATCGCTCATCCCTACTATGCGGGTTGACTGCAAGAACGGGATACCTCTCCAAGGGGGGGGGCTTCACACGGAAGGGATACCTGCATCGGTGCAGGAACCAGAGACGATCCGCTGCCGTGGCGCTTATAGAGGAGGAGGAGGAGGAGGAGGAGGAGGAGGAGGAGGAGGAGGAGGAGGAGGAGGAGGAGGAGGAGGAGACGAGGAGAAGGAGGAGAGCCGCCCGCCAAAGCGTTCCGAGTATAGGGCGAACGACCCCATCCCTAGGCCCTAGGGCCGTCCGCACCATCGAGGCTAACCCGATCACCCGATCGAGGCCACGGCACGTGGCTCGGTATTGCAATTCTTCTCGTCTCGCACCATACCCTTCCGCACTCGCCATTCACACGCAGAAATATAGATGTCATCAAGGAGATGCGACGTCTACAAGGTTCGCAGCACGAACCCAGAGAGCAGATATCCGCCACCGTGCCTCTGGCACGGAGTGAAGAGCCCCAAGGCTCATGCAGCACTGAGAAAAAGAGGCTGTGCTGCTGCTGCAGCCATAATTGTAAGTCTTTGAAGACCCGGACCAACAGTTTCCCAAGCCGTCTTGGGCCGTCCTGGGCCGGCCCGAGCTTTCCAAAGCTGGCTCACGTGAGTTCTGGGGTGCTTCCTGTGGGTCCTCTGGATGCTTTGCCCGCCCACAACGGTCCAAGAGAGCCCCGACTCGCCGAAACATAGTTGAAAGATGTTGTCAATAGCCTCGAGACGGCCCCGGACACCTCCCAGACTCCAAGAGGCCTCCCAAGAGGGCCCAAAGAGGCCAAAATCAGTGATGTTCCCGAACTGTTTGAAGGATTTGGGCGCTCTCGCCTTTTCAGCTTCCCGACGTCCCCAGACGGCCCTAGAGGCCCCCAAGATCGCCTAAAAGGCCCAAGAGGCCTCCAAGAAGGCCCCCAAACTGCACAAGAGGGCCCCAAAGCAGCCCAAGAGGCGCCCAAAACGGCCCAAGAGGCCCCAAGACGGCCCCACAAGGGGCCCAAAAGAGGGAACACGAATCGAACATCCGACCAACAGAGGACCCCAAAAGAGGCCCCAGAAAGGCCTCAAGAGGTCCCCGCCCCAAAGAGGCGCTCAAACTGACTCCAAGAGGCCCCCGAGAAGCCTCCCACGAGATTCAAACAAACATCCTATAGGTTTCACAACCACAACCCAGGCACGGTGGCGGGATGGGCCGAAGGCCATTCGGTACAAATCAACGACGATCGAACCTTGTGGAACAGAGATGCAATTGGCACGTCCAAAGCGAATGAGATGCTAGTCATAACGACAAAGACTGTTTGTTACCGAAGATGTGGAGAACGAAAGCCCATACGTTCGTATCAAAGCCTGGGAAAACTTAGACCACTACACGTTTACAACTTCCAATCCGCTGGCGTTGGCAGCCACTTCTGTGTCGTATCCCAGACAGGCCTCCCACCATGTACACGCCACGCCCCAAAGAGATAGACACGAAGGCACAAGCTGACGACTCTGAAACAGTTGACAACATTGACAGCCCCAACATAGACAACTTCATGTTGGCATAGTTGACACAGCGGACGAAGCCCACACAATTGATAATGCTCAAATTGACACCGTTGGCATACCTGCCGTAACCGACAACATGTATGTCGCCTGCCGTGGTTGAGGTGCACGCGGCTCCAGCGGAAATAGCAATTGTTTCAATGGGCAGGCAATATCTTGCCAGCGGTCACGGCGTTGATGTAGACTTTCAGCTGGCTGTCGATACACTAAAGCGAACATTCCACGCAATGCTCTGCGACAACGTATTATTCAATTACATTTGGCAGAGTATTGCACGATATCCATTTGTTTGGCTTTGGATTTGCCACCAATCGATGTAGATCTGCACATTCGCACAATGCTACAAACAAACATCACGGCTGATCATGAACAGTGTTTGAATAATACCAAAACATATTCACGTATTCTTCTCACTCCGGTCTCAAGGGCAAAGGTGTGCAGACAGATACCTTACTCCCAAACACTACAGGGCCCAACTCCACAGCGGGCCAACATTGCTGTCAATGGGTTGCGGTGGAACGGGGCTACCGCGCACCCGCCTCCAGCACAAAGCGCATGCACACATAGAGGGCAGCCCCACAGCTGCCAGCAAAGGTGCCACTGCATGGCGCTGGGACGGGGCTCTTGCGCACCAGCCTCCACAACATCAACACTATGCTTCTACTTCGACTGCGGCCGCCCCGCCGGCCACGAACACACCAGGTCGGCCAGATGCTAAATAATATTGCAGCCGCGAAGACAACATTCGAATTCTTGCATATGTGCTGCAAAAGACAAACAGCAATGACGCACAGCTTCATCGCAATGCCCTTGTTCAAGAATGCTCTGGCACGAAAAGCATCAAATGGCAGATTCCCACTTGGCGAAGCTGCAGAAAGAGCATTAGTTGCACACACGCACACACCCCTTCGGACGCTGACTTCCACGTCCCCTTCTCCACTCGGCACGAGGAGGAGGAGTTGGAGGAGGAGGAGGAGGAGGTGGAGGGGAAGAAGAAATGGTAGCTTTAATCGGTAGTGGAGGAGGTTGGTGCACACCAACACCCCCGCTGCGGGGAAAGTCCATTTACGTGCCACAGATGCAGCATCATCCTGTCTTCCTTACTCCTTCTCTACCCTATTTCCCCACCGACCTTGCCTACTTGCCGCCATGGACATTGCTTTTCTGTACGTTCCCTTCTCTCCCCCGCTTCCGTCGATCATAATAATCGCACTGCTTATTCGCCATCTCCACCTATGTTAGCTGCGATCATAACAAAGAGTGCAATCGCATGTCTCGTCTCTCGTCCATCGGTTCGTCTGACCTGGCCATTCGGGACGATTCATGCACCCCTCGAATGCTCTCGGCGAGGCACCGCTGTTGGAGAGCATCCTAGAGCTGATGAGCCGTCAAGAACCTACAACAACACCGGAAGAACACGAGTCCGATCTTCGTCCCTGACATTCACTCGTCGTCGCGCGCAGTGCCGCCAGCCAACGTTTTTTTGGGGCGCCCCGTCACCAAGTCCACTTGCGCTTGCGGGCGCTCGTGCGCCTCACGCCGCGGCGCACCGGCGCGCGTCCAGGGCTGGTGCCAGACTCTCCCCCGGGCTCGCAGGGTAGGACCGCCTGGGCCGCGGCCAGGAGGGGGGGCAAGGAGGGGAGGGATACATGGACGCAAAGGGACGATTGGTTGGAGCAATGATTCCGCGACTGCATGCTTCGATGGGTGGCATGAGTGATGCAGGCGCGCTTCCAGGTGCACTGAACCAAGTACGGGACAGAGAAGCGAGCAAATCCTGCTGGCACCCACAAGGAGGGAGGAGAGAGGAGGGAGAAGGGAGGCGGGGGACAGGGGGGATGGGGGAAGAGGGATCAGGAGGCCCCTCCCTCCTCCATCCCCCCACCTCATCCTCCCTTCTCCATCCCTCCCCACTCCCTCCTCCCTGGGCATCCTACTCCTCCACAGTTGCACATTATGAACACTACTCTCCTCGCTCCCCTGACTCGTGGTGTTCCCGCTGCAGCGTGGGCCTCATTTTCGGATCGGCGCTTCGCTCCCGTCGTTCAGAACGGCACTCTCGCCCCAGCACTGGCCACGCTTCTGGATCCGAATCCTTTTTTTATCGTTGTCGCCCCCCCTCATTTCCCCTCCTCCGCCGACTTCCCCTGGTCCTCCTGCTCCTCCCGCTCCTTCCAAACCAATTCCTGCTGCTGCTGTTCGCCCGCGTCCTCTCCTTCCACATCCTCCTTTCCCCTCCGTTTCCTCCTGTTCATCCTCATGTTCACCCGCCACCTCCTTCTCCTATGTCGTTTCGCAGTTTCCATTTTCCAATTGCGCATGACACGATGCTTCGTCTCGAGCTCCAGGTCGGCCATGACACGCGTCCACGGATACAGGAATAATCTGCGCAATGAACACGGATGGACGGGAACCGCTCCTGTCGGCATGTGACAGAGACTGTTCCGTCGCCATCGCCGTCGCTGCCGCCGTGGTGTCGCCCCCGAGTCCGTCGCCGCTGCCCCCGTTTCCTTGGGCCCTCGTCCTCAAGCACGCCGGCCAAAGCGAAATACACCGGCCCATCCACAGCGAAATCAAGCAACGTGGTCATTGATTGAGTCGAAGGGAAGCCCCTTCCTCTTGATCCCTTCCCCGCGGAAAGGGCGGGGTGCGGCCCCGGGTCAGAATACCACCCTCCCGGGGCCCGTGGCCCGCCCTCTCCCTCCCATTTCCGTCGAGGGCCGAGGCCTCCAGGGTCGGCGGCGCCGGCCGCAAGGCCTTGGCAATAATCTGCGCAATGAGCACGGCCGGACGGGAGGGGTGGGATGGCCCCCGCTGCGCATAGCTTGTTTCTCCACAGCTACACATCACGAACACCCCCCCTCTCTCCCCTGACCCCGTCTGGAAGCAGGCTGGTTCTCCGCGCGCAGTTTCTCACACAGAGGACTGGTCACATGAGGTCTTTCCTATGTGCGGCTTTGCAATCCGCTGTTTTCGGAGTTTCAAGATGGTGCTCCCGCTGCAGCGTGAGCCTAATTTTCGGATCGGCGCTTTGCTCCCACCGTTCAGAAAGGCGCCCTCGTCCCATGCGGGGCACTTTTCTGAACCCGAGTCCATTTTCATCGTTGTCGCTCCTCTCATTGCCACTCCGCCGCCTTCCCCTGGTCCGCCTGCTCCTCCCGCTGTTCCCACTCCAATTCCTGCTGCTGCTGTTCGTCCTCGTGACACAGCGGGGTCTTGTCGTTGGAGTTCCAGCGCGCGGGAGAGCGGGGGGGGGGAGGAGGCAGGGGCATGGTCGCCTTGACGCGGCCCTCGAGGGCCGGGATGTCGATGCCCAGCCTCCTCGCCGCGGTGGCCAGCTTCAGGAGCTCGAAGACGCCGAGGTTGTCTACACGGTCCGAGTTCAGGGCCTCGGCCACGCGCTGCCGCAGGATGGGGTTCATCAGGTACTCGACCTTGGCGATCCCATGGAGGAATTTCACCATGTCCTGCATGGACAGCTCCTCGAAGCGGGCCAGCAGCGCCTGCGAGGCGGCCCCGAACAGCTCGGTGTGCACGGCGTGCACCTTCGTGAAGGCGTGCACGATGTTGGCCAGCATGACGCAGGGCTCCTCGGTGATGGCGGGGCCCCTGCGGCGCATCAGCGCGTCGCCAAGAGCCTCGAAGAGCTTGCCGTCCCGCGCCTGTCGGGCCGGGCGAAAGAGAAAACAAAGGGGGGATCTGAGAATCAGCTCACGCAGCTGCTCTTCCCCGCGCCTCCCGGCGCCGGAGGCGGCTCTGTCTCGAGGAATGGGCCCCTCGGTGGGGCCGGAACCAGCTGCACGCAGCAGATTTCGTAACCCCCCCTTTCCCAATCCCCTCTTCTCGTCTGGCCCGAGTCTAGCCTGGACCCCTCAGATCCTTCAGAGAAGGCCCCCGCCCCCCTTTCCCAATCCCCCCCTTTCGTCCGTCCCGCGCCTGCAGCTTCCCGAAGGCCATCGCCAGGACGGTGAGCTCGGCCGCGGAGGCGGCGTCGAGCGCGCCCGACTGCCGCTTCAGCTGCGCCGCCGCGCGGGCGGCCAGCACCTGGCACGACACCCCCGCCTTGGCGAAGGACGCCAGCACGCCTACGCAGGAGCACAAACAGGCCGCGTAAACCTGACTTCTCGGAGGTCCGAGCGGACTTCTCGGATATCCGCGCTGACCCCCCCCTCCGTGGAACGCGGAGCGCACCGGCGGCGGCGCCCGAGGCGCCGCCAGGGGGGCCCAGCGCAGATCCGAGAAGTCCGCGCGGAGCGCCAAAAGTGCCAGCTCGTGCAGGCTTTCCTCCTTCGAGCGCCGCTGATCAGCGGCACCCCCATCAGGTGCAGCTTGCGCCTCGCCTCCACCGACAGGAGGTCGAACAGGGCCACGTCCTGGCTGGAGAACTTGGCGAAGCCGTACATAGGGGAACAAAAAGTGACATAAACATAAAAACTCAGAAGTCCGCGCGGATTTCTCGGATCGGCGCTGGACCCCCCTCCCTGGCGCGCGGAGCGCGCCAGGGGCGGCGCCGGAGGCGCCGCCGGGGGGCCCCAGCGCCGATCCGAGAAATCCGCGCGGACCTCCGAGTTTTTATGTTTCTGCCACTTTTTGTTCCCCTAGTACAGCACGGCCGCCAGCCCCTCCGGGTCCAGCGCGGCACGGGCGTCGCGGTCGCGCAGCCGCCCGGCCACGGCGGCCAGCAGCCGCTCGTCGTGCAGGCGGCACTTGGCGAGGGCCCGCGCAGCGCCCGCGCACTGCCCCGGCGACACGGAGCGGATGTCGCCCGCGAGCTTGCTGGCCACGCTCGACAGCATCGCGGGGCCCTGCCGGGTGCCCTGCAGCCGGAAGACGGCGTACGCGTCGAGCACCTCGAAGAACAGGGAACGGCATAGACATGCACATTAGGAGCTCCGCGCGGAGGGGGGGGGCCCAGGCACCGATCCAAGACATCCGCAGGGGCCGTCGAAAGCTTAAGCTTAGTTATGCCGCTGAGTTATTCTTCTTCGAGCACCTGTAGGTGGCGACAGCCGAACCCTACCCCCACCGACCATCGATTCTTCTGAACCGATGGGCGGCGGGGGCAGGGCTCGGACTTCGCCACGTGCTCGACGAATTCCGAATCCTGCCCCTCGACTAGGAGATCGACTACATAATTGACTTACCCCCAGAGTGTTTAGTTCGCCGGATCTACAACATGTCGAATATCCGTAGAGCTACGGAAACGCTGCGCTTCGTTCTTAGATTCGGATAACATATCAAATGTTGGGTAAATCAATAATGTAATAGATTTCCTACTGGAACCCCCGCTGCTCATCGAGTTACCTGAATTGTTGATCGGCGAGGGAATCGGCGGCGACCATAAGGGCCAATAGCCCAGGGGGCGGGCATTACACGCATTCGCCCGGGAACCTCGTCGAAGACACAAATCATCGGCGCCCCTGGATACGTGTACACGTCGGTCGGAAGAAATAGGTAATTAGCCTGGCGAAGGACCCAACCATATGCAGTTGTGAATGCCGCAATTGTGCTGGGTGGTGGCGGACGCATGCGGGCGGTGCCACTGTGACCTTCGGTGGAGCTCCCTATGGGGCCACGAAACGCTGTACTGGGTGGGCGAGACGCGGTCAGCAAGGGCTGTGCTGCGCGGTGGCGGACGCATGCGAGCGGTGCCACTGGGACCTTCGGTGGAGCTCCCTATGGGGCCACGAAACGCTGTACTGGGTGGGTGAGACGCAGGCAGGGAGCAAGGGCTGCGCAGGGTGGTGGCGGACGCATGCGGGCGGTGCCGCTGGGACCTTTGGTGGAGCTCCCTATAGGGCTACGAAGCGCTGTTCTGGGTGGGTGAAGCGCAGGGAACAAGGGCTGTGCTGGGTGGTGGCGGACGCAAGCGGGCAGTGCCACTGGGACCTTTGGTGGAGCCCCCTATGGGGCCACGAAGCGTGCGAGGGGTGTGCCAGAATGGGTGTGGAACCGCATGCCAGCGCAGCCACTGGGGCCTTCGGTGGAGCTCCCTATGGAGCCACGAAGCGTGTGAGGGGTGTGCCGAAATGGGGGGTGGAACCGCATGCGAGCGCAGCCACTGCGGCGTTCGGTGGAGCTCCCTATGGGGCCACGAGACGTGTGAAGGGCGTGCCGAAAAAGGGGGTGGAACCGCATGCGAGCGCAGCCACTGGGGCCTTCGGTGGAGCTCTCTATGGGGCCACGAACCGTGTGAGGGGTGTGCCGAAATGGGGGGGGAACCACATGCGAGCGCAGCCACTGGGGCGTTCGGTGGAGCTCCCCATGGAGCCACCCACGAAGCGTGTGAGGGGTGTGCCGAAATGGGGGGTGGAACCGCATGCGGCGCAGCCACTGGGGCCTTCGGTGGAGCTCCCTATGGGGCCACGAAACGTGTGAGGGGTGTGCCAGAATGGGGGGTGGAACCGCATGCGGGCGCAGCCACTGGGGCCTTCGGTGGAGCTCCCTATGGGGCCACGAAACGTGTGAGGGGTGTGCCAGAATGGGGGGTGGAACCGCATGCGGGCGCAGCCACTGGGGCCTTCGGTGGAGCTCCCTATGGGGCCACGAAACGTGTGAGGGGTGTGCCAGAATGGGGGGTGGAACCGCATGCGGGCGCAGCCACTGGGGCCTTCGGTGGAGCTCCCTATGGGGCCACGAAACGTGTGAGGGGTGTGCCAGAATGGGGGGTGGAACCGCATGCGGGCGCAGCCACTGGGGCCTTCGGTGGAGCTCCCTATGGGGCCACGAAACGTGTGAGGGGTGTGCCAGAATGGGGGGTGGAACCGCATGCGGGCGCAGCCACTGGGGCCTTCGGTGGAGCTCCCTATGGGGCCACGAAACGTGTGAGGGGTGTGCCAGAATGGGGGGTGGAACCGCATGCGGGCGCAGCCACTGGGGCCTTCGGTGGAGCTCCCTATGGGGCCACGAAACGTGTGAGGGGTGTGCCAGAATGGGGGGTGGAACCGCATGCGGGCGCAGCCACTGGGGCCTTCGGTGGAGCTCCCTATGGGGCCACGAAACGTGTGAGGGGTGTGCCAGAATGGGGGGTGGAACCGCATGCGGGGCCTTCGGTGGAGCTCCCTATGGGGCCACGAAGCGTGTGAGGGGTGTGCCAGAATTGGTGGAGCAGCGGGCGCAGCCACTGGGGCCTTCGGTGGAGCTCCCTATGGGGCCACGAAACGTGTGAGGGGTGTGCCAGAATGGGGGGTGGAACCGCATGCGGGCGCAGCCACTGGGGCCTTCGGTGGAGCTCCCTATGGGGCCACGAAACGTGTGAGGGGTGTGCCAGAACGGGGGGTGGAACCGCATGTGAGCTCCCTATGGGGCCACGAAACTGTGCCCAGAATGGGGGGTGGATGCGGGGTTCGCGGGGGCTCCCAGGGGCCGCTTGGGGCCTTCGGTGGAGCTCCCTATGGGGCCACGAAACGTGTGGGGGCCGCAGCCGCAGCCACTGGGGCCTTCGGTGGAGCTCCCTATGGGGCCACGAAACGTGTGAGGGGTGTGCCAGAATGGGTGTGGGAGGGGGAGGGGGGGGGAGGAAGGGGAGGAGGAGGAAGGAGGAGGGAGGAGGAAGGAACGCGGGGCGACGTCTCTTCGAAACGAGGACCCAACACCACAGGATGGTTGGGAAAAACATGAAGTAGGAAGGCGGATCAAGTGGATTGGGTCCAGGCCCTCCCAGAGAATAACAAAACTCAGCAAAAGCGTGTCGATTCTTGAAGTAGGAAGGCGTTTGAAGTAGATTGGGATCTGGGAATCCAAAAAATACCCGCTTTCAACGACCGGCGTGTCCTGCTCCCCCCTGGGCGAGTCGCCCTCATCGTCGCCTCCGAGGGAGGTCCTTCGACTCCGCCGCCGAGCACTGGCGCTGGCCCCGATGGCCAGAGGAGTCGGGGATAGACAGACCCCCCTTTAGCAAAACGTGGTTTAGTGAAAACGACCTGAGGCCCAAACCTGGCGGGCGCGAACCTGGAAAATAGCGGCCACGGCGCCCTCTCGAGAACCGAAAACGGACAATTCACTAATCGACGTGTCACTGTTGGGGGTTGTGTCCACCCCCGAAGGAGGCCGGGCCCAGCACGTGCCCTCCCCCTCCCAGGGGCGGCACGTCCGACGGCATGGCAGCTGGACGATATCCACGACGGCGGCCCGCAGCGCCGCCGTCTGGCCTCTGCCGCGGCACCCGAGCAGCGTTCAACCGGGGTGGCCTGGGCCTCACCGGCGTGGCCTGGGCCTCACTGGAGGAGGAGGAGGAGGAGGAGGAGGAGGAGGAGGAGGAGGAGGAGGAGGAGGAGGAGGAGGAGGAGAAGGAGGAGCAGGAGGGGCGAGGAGAAGGAAGGCAGAGCACTGCCTCAAAGACCCCTGCGCTGGTCAGGCCAGGGGGCCGCTGCCCCACCGGCGTGGCCTGGGCCTCACTGGCCGATTTACCCCTGGATGGGGATCTGCAATGCTCCCTTCGGGCTTCGCGGGGCACATCCCAAACTGGGGCGGTGGGATTCTTAGGGTCGGAACGGGGAGGGGGAGATAGGGATCGCTTAAACGATGCTGAGAACCCACCCTCGTCGAGCTCATGCGCCGCCAGTCGGAAGCCACGGCCGCGGACCGCAGAAAGCGGCGCCAGAGGGGCCCAGGCCAGATCCAAAGGCTCGAGGGGCTCGACGGCCCGGGCCCCGCGCGGACCGTCGACGGGTTTGGTTTATGCCGCTGGATTTCCTCTTCGATCCTCGTACACTGATGCCGCTTCTGCTGATGCCGCTCACGCCGCTTGATCTTGTGCCGCTTATTATTCGACAGTGTATGCTGATTGTATGCCGCTGCCAGGTCTTCTTCTGAAAATGTGTGTATGTGTGTATGATTAACCTTGGTACGTTTCATATCATTCAGCTTAGTCTACTTGTTGTTCCTATCATCTTTCTTACATTGTTAAGATCGTTCTTCAAGCACCTGGCACAGCTGCTGCGGCGCGAAGAGGGCGCTGTGCTGCGACGCCATGCGGGACACCGCGTCCAGGAGCTCCCCCGCCGGTGCCGCCGCGAGCCCGGCGGCGTGCAGCCGCGCCAGGCTCCAGACCGAGGTGCCCAGCGCCGCGGCCGTCGCCTTCGACTGGCGCATGAGCTCGAAGAGGGTGGCCTCGAAAGCAGAAGACACTGGGCATCGCTCAGACATTGATCCAGGGCTCCGCCCCTCCCCCCCAGGCCGATGGGATCGCTCCCCCCCCACCACGCCCCAGCTGGATGGGTACGCCCCGTGAGCTTCGCAGAGGCCTCGCGAGTGGGATCGCCCCCCCGCCTCCGCTGTGGTCGTGGCCCTGTGGGCGTGGCGCGGTGTCGTCGTGGTCGTGGTCGTGGTCGTGGGCGTCGTCGTCGTCGGCGTCGTCGGCGTTCGTCGGCGTCGTCGTCGGCGTCGTCGGCGTCCACCCATCTCATCTGGGAGGGGGCCTGTGGAACACTGAGACCCATTCCTAATGGGGAGGGCTATGAACCCTCGACCCAGGATCTATAGACACTACGTAAAGTATCTGGGCCCTGTCCCGTAGGGTTTCGTAGAGAAGACACTGGACAACGTATGGTGTACAAGTTTCCAGCCACCTCCCTGGGTAACGGGTGTTGAAACACACGCATGCATTGTGTTTGGGTCGCCGGACACACACACATGACACAACATAGTGGACATGTTCTTGGCCACGAAAACACCCTCATTAAAAAACACCCTGACAAGCGAAGCCCGCGTGGCCAACGCACCCAAGGAAGGAATCGAACACGACGGGGCTGTTTTGCAAACCCCCACGACAGGCGTTCACTATAGTGAACGCCTGTCATGGGGGTCGGGGAATTTCTTCCTCCGCTGATGGCCTCCAGCCGCTCCAGCACGCGGTCGTTCCGGAACTGAAGCAGAGCGTGCGCGTGCAGCACCTGCGCGACCGCGTCGGCGTCCAGGCCGTCCGCTGCCTCCGCGGCGGCGTCGCCGAAGTTATACATCAGCTCGTTGTCGCGGTGGCCCGCCAGCGCGACGGCCTCCAGGAAGCGGGCCGCTTCCCCGAGCGGCGAGCCCGACAGCAGGCGCTGCGCCTGCAGCGAGCACGCCCTCCAGAAGGCTGGCTCCTTGGGAGGAAGATCGTCGTCCGTCGTCCGTCATCCGTCGTCCGTCGTCCGTCGTCGTCGTCGTCGTCGTCGGCACCGGGCCGCCTCGGCACCTGCTCTGGCGTGAGCCTCGGGGGGGCGATGAATGGGGTGGGTGAGAATAAGTGCGTCTTCCGTGCATCTTCGGGGCTCTGAAGGGTCCCTCTGAGACCAAAAATGAGCACGAAGCGTGCAAGCTTCTCCGCCGCCCCATTTTCGGCGACGAGCGCAGGGGGGAACTGAGAAAAAGCGGGCCTTCTCAGAAGGCTCGGAAAGCCTCGGGCTTTCTGAACAATTTCCTAAGCTGTCCTCGAAAAGACAGAAATCTTCTCTGAAGCTCACAAGCCTTCTGAAAATCCCAGCCGCCTTCTGAAAAGGCCTGCTCCTCCTCACTTCCTCCCGGGCGCGCCGCCGAAGAAGAAACAGCAGAAGCATAAACTTTCGGAGGGCCGTGCGGAATTCTTGGATCGGCGCTGAAGCCCCCTCCCTGGCGCGCGGAGCGCGCGCCAGAGGCGGCGCCAGAGGTACGGACCTTCGAAGGTTTTTGTTTATGCAGCTTCTTCTCTTCATTGCTGCCAGCCGACAGATGGCTGGCGGCAGTGTGGAAATACACCTTTGGTTGACTTCCCTCCCCCTCCTACTCCTCCTCTTCCTCGTCCTCCTCATCATCATCCATTCCTTTCCTCATACAACAAAACTCCTCCCTGTCGCGCCCCGAGGATGGTCGAAAGGGCGGGACGGCTGTCTCGCCTGAGACTTCCTTTCCATGTATGATCCTAAGCTCTAAATCAGCAACAGTTGCACGCATGGAGGGCGGGTAGTTTTGAGAATATGGCTCTCGCCTTCGCTCCGCGCAGACTCGTCTTGAGGCTTGGCAAAGCTTTACAGATGAAGGGCGGCGCCTTTTCAAAAAAAAAGCTCGCCTTAGCACCGCGCACACTGGTCTTCAAATGTACAACAGTCCCACGGCGTGTTGCGGCGATGCAGGATTGTCAAGGCGCCGCAGGTACGTTGATTCGCCGTGCTGAAATCCATGAATGGCGATCTAGTGCGATTCAGGATCGTCCAGACGCAGCAGTCAAGATGATTCGTGGCGCTGAAGTTCCGAACATGGTGTTTTAGCACGCTTCAGGATCTTCCAGCGTTTGTCTCCCGACGGGGCACTTCCCTCAGTGGACATGAACCCTTGCAAGGGCCTGTGATGAGGGAGCTTGGAGGGAGGGTCTATTCCTACATCGTTGATGGGTCTTGGGTTTATACTGGTCCTCCTCCTCCTCCTCCTCCTCCTCCTCCGCCTCCTCCTCCTCCTCCTCCTCCTCCTCCTCCTCCTCCTCCTCCTCCTCCTCCTCCTCCTCCTCCCCTTCCCCCTCTCACTCCCCCTCCTCCTCCTCCTCCTCCTCCTCCTCCTCCTGATCCTCATCCTCCTCGTGCAATAGCGTGAATCAGAAGGCCAGTGGCGAGGTGAAGTCGGAAACCCGCAGATCGCTGTCATGCCCTTCTCGCTCACGTGTCTGCTGCACACAGCGGCGCTTTCTCTTTTTCGTCGTAGTGTTATAACTATGTGAAACAACTGTATAATCATACTATGAGTGCAATGGTATTCCTACGACTGCTGTTGTTACGAATAGTATGCTTGGTACTAGTACGATCCGTATGAAAATGAGTATTATATTGTTAGTCGCCTGGGTATTATTAGTAGTATACTTAATATTAGTAGTATTGTTATTAGTTGTTGGAGGATGATTGGTACTATCATTATTGGTGTTGAGGCTGTTATTATTCGTGCGGATGTCAGCATCATTGCAATTACTACTACTATTGCGACTCTTACTGCTATGTTGATTGCTGGTACTAGTATTATCCACGGTATGGTTATTTTTCTGACCAAAGCTATTATTATGTTTGTTCGTCTTCTTCTTCCTCAGAGGCGGCCAGGAGTCTGAACTGGTTGGGATCCCTGACAATCGGTCAGGAAAGGGGATTAGGCCAAATCCGCTCAAAATCGGTCTCCGGAGCCCTCCCAGGGTCAATCTGGTGCAATTTTTCGCTGCAGATCCATTCCTGACGCTCCTAGGGCCCGAAAAAAGTACTGGGAATCTGAAAAGGCACAAATTATCCATATGCAGTTGTGGGTACCGAAATTTTGAATATCTGCTTCGGTGAAGCTCCCTATGGGGCCACGAATCGCTGCACTGGGCGGGGCGGAGCGCTGTACTGTGTGGGTGGTGTGCCGAATTGGGTTTCCGGGACGCATGCGGACGGTCCCACTAGGGCTTCGGAGGAGCTCCCTATGGGGTCACAAAGCGCTCTACTGAGTGAATGAAAATGCCAAATTGGGTTTCCTGGACGCATGCGGACGGTCCCACTGAAAGCTTCGGTGGAGCCCCCTATGGGGCCACGAAACGCTGCACTGCGCGGGTGAAAATGCCAAATTACATTTCCCGGACGCATACGGACGGTGGCACTGGGGCCTTGGGTGGAGCCCCCTACGGGGCCACGAAACGCTGCACTGGGTGGGTGAAAATGCCAAATTGGGCTTCCGGGACGCATGCGGACGGGGGCACTGGGGCCTTTGATGGAGCTCCCTATGGGGCCACGAAACGCTGTACTGAGGGGGAGGAAGGCCACGAAACGCTGTACTGGGTGTGCGGGACGCATGCGGACGGTAGCGCTGGGACCTTCGGTGGGGCTCCCTATGGGGCCACGAAACGCTGCACTGGGTGTGCAGGACGCATGCGGACGGTAGCACTGGGACCTTCGGTGGGGCTCCCTATGGGGCCACGAAACGCTGTACTGGGCGGAAACGCAGGGAGGAAGGGGAGGAAGGCCACGAAACGCTGTACTGGGTGTGCGGGACGCATGCGGACGGTAGCACTGTGACCTTCGGTGGAGCTCCCCATGGGGCCACAAAAAGCTGTACTGGGTGTGCGGGACGCATGCGGACGGTAGCGCTGGGACCTTCGGTGGGGCTCCCTATGGGGCCACGAAGCGCTGCACTGGGTGTGCAGGACGCATGCGGACGGTAGCACTGGGACCTTCGGTGGGGCTCCCTATGGGGCCACGAAACGCTGTACTGGGTGGGTGGGCTGCACTGGGTGTGCGGGACGCATGCGGACGGTGGAGGAGGAGGGGGAAGAGGAGGAGAGGAGAACGCGGGGACCGTCTCTTCAAAACGAGGACCCAACACCAAAAGGATGGTTGGGAACAAAGCGTGCTGACTCTGCCTCGCTCACGCACACCACCGCGGTGCGAACGCACACCGGGCGGCGGAATCACTCGGCGAGCGTAATCCACCCCGTCGGGCCAACTTCCTCTCACTCTTCTTCTGCTCTTCGTCGATCCTCGTACGCGCTGGCGGCAGCGCTCCGCGCCACGAGCACGAGCGTCGCCATGTCCCCGACGGCGGCGGGGTCGTAGCACAGGTGCGCCGGGGGCGCGCCCGCGCTCGCGGCCGCCCGCCCCGCGCCGGTCCCCTGGGCGCGGGCGCGGCGCGGCGCGGCGCCAAAGCGCACCTTGGACGGATCGGCGGCGAGCCCAAGGGGGAAGTGAGAGGGACGTCGTCGTCGTCGTCGTCGTCGTCGTCGTCGTGGGCACTGGGCCACCTCGGCACCTGCTCTGGCGTGAGCCTCGGTGGGGCTGTAACTGGGGGGGTGAGAGGAGGTGCTCTTTCGGGGCTCTGATAAGGGACCCCCTGAATCCGAAAATGGACACCAAAGGGTGCACGCTTCTCCGCCCCCCCGTTTTCGGGAGAGGGACGCGGGCCTTCTCAGAAGGCTCGGCCGTCCCAGAACATGAAGAAAACTCCTCCTGAAGGCCCGAGGCCTTCTGAGAAGCGTCTCCTTAGAAGCCTCTCCGTCTTCTGAGAATCGGCTACACGCAAGAGTGACCCTGGGTAAGAGTGACCTTTGGTGCGCGGCTTTTTGTGGGCCGCGGGGGGACCAAACCTGGGCGCGCCAGCCGTAGCTCCTGCTTCGTTTTCAGCCATCTGGGGACCCATGTGTGCCCGCACCAAAGGTCACTCCGGCGAAAGGTCACTCTTACGTCTAGTCGAGAGAAGGCCTACGGCGCACCGTCGAACGGAGGAGGGAGCGGCATCGGCACATTTCTTCGGAGGTCCACGCGGGATGCCTCGGAGCGGCGCTGGCCCCCCCGCCCGTGGCGGCGCGAAGGCGCGCCCCGGAGCGGCGTCCGGGGGTCCAGGGCCTATCCAAGAGATTCGATGGCTCATGCGCGTGCCACGATGTCTTCTCCGAGGGAGGGGGCGTGATGGAAGACAGGGCGAGAGGGGGCAAGCGAAGAACTATCATGCTCGAGCAGCTCGCCTTCCCTCTCTCCGCAATTCAACTATATGGATGCAACTTTCTTCTTTCCCCTGAAGCTGTCCAGAAAATGGCGGGCCCTCTCCGCGTGTAGCTTACACATAATGTGTTAAAAGCCTTATGCATTTTCCCATATAATTGCTTCTGGTGTTTCAGAATGGCTCTCCCGCTACAGCGTGGGCCTCATTTTCTGATCGGCGCTTTGCCCCCGTCGTTCGTGGGCCACATTTCTGGATCCAAGTATTTCTTCATTGTTGTCGCCCTCCTCATTTCCCCTCCTCCACCTTCCCCTGGTCCTCCTGTTCCTCCCGCTATTTCCACTCCAATTCCTGCTGCTGCTGTCCGTCCTCGTCAGTTTCCTCCCGCTCATCCTTCTGCACCCGCCACCTCATCCTACAGTGCACGCAACTCCCTTGTTTCCCGATTCCGCATAATCATCACGATGTGGTCTTTGAGCTGGAGATGTAGATCGGCCATGACACGCGTCCGCGGATAGAGAGGAAATCTGCGCGATGGGAAGGGAGGGATGGGTCGTCAGATGAGGCGCGAGCGCGCCTAGCTTGCCCTCTCCCCCTCTCACTCCCCCCCCCTGGGCTCTGCGCCGTCGTCGCCGTCGCCGTCGCCTCGCCGCCGCCGCCGCCGCCGTCGCCGTCGCCGTGGCCGTGGCCGTGGCCATGGCCGTCGCCGCCGTCGCCGTCGCCGTCGTCGTCTCGGCACCGCCGGTCCGCCGCCGCGGGCATCGGCGGGCCCGGCCGCCCGCAGCGGCGCGGGCCCGGCCGGGCGCCACGCGGCGGCCGCGGCGCGCAGCTGCCCCGCCGCGGTCCGCGGCCCGTGGCGGGCCGCGGGGCACGGGCGCCCCGCGGCGGGCGCGCGCGCGCTGCAGCGGCCCGCCGCGTGGGCGCCGCGGGGCCCTCGGCCCCAGAGCGCCATCCTGGCGCTGGCCGCGGGGCATGGCCCGGCAGCTCGGGCCAGCACATGTCTTCCCCCTCCAGGGGCGGCGAATCGAGCGGCATGGCAGTTCGACGGTGCACAGCGTCAGCCAGCAGCGCGGCAGTTCCACGACAGCTCGGCATCACAGGAGCTCTCAGCACACATGACAACATCACAGATCCCTCCACAACAACCCGCTCGGGCCAAAACGACGGACCCGCTTGCACTGGAGAGTGGTTCCACGGGCACGCACAACCCTGGTCGGCTTTTGTTTTCGAGCCGTGACCAGCCGTGGAGACGAGGGAGGCGATCCAAAAGAACAGCCACATTGAACGACTAATGCACTCTGAAAGACGGACCACAATCAAACTCGATACAGCCGGGATATATTGTAGAGGACGCCCCCAGAGGACGCAAGACTCTTCCGACGGTAACATGGCACAACACAACAGAAGACATAAAGGAACCCCTTCCCCAGAACATGCCGGGAACATGCACATACTCAAGACACATGGGTTGACGTTGCAGGGTCGGCCTACTCATCCGCCCCGCCTGTTCCCCCCCCCGCCTCCTAGGAGAAGGAAGGAAGAGGAGGAGAGGGAAGGAGGAGAGGAGGGAAGGAGGAGGGAAGGGGATGGGAGGGAGGGAGGGATGACGAGGGAGAGGGGATCCTCCACTCTCCTGCATTCCCTTTTCCACCTACCCGCCAATGAAGCACCCAAAACATGCGAGCGCACGCCGCACGCGAGGACTGGTAGGCCGGCAAAGCAGTGACAACTGGGAGGCCCGACCTGGGCTCGCCCCCGGGAGCGCCCAGACCCCCCACGGGAGCGCTCAGCAGGACCGCCGACGACGACGAGCCAACCAGAGCTCCCCCCTCCAGGAACCCCCCAGATCCCCTGGAGCCACGGCTCCTGCTGGCGACGCGGCGAGGGGGAGCGAGGCCGACGTCCTGCAGTGGCCCCCCCCGCCCCTCGGAGGAGCTCCCGCCCTCGGCCCTCCCCGCGAGGGGCGGCGGCGGGGAACTCCCGGACGGAATCCCTCGGCGAACGAGCGGCCTCTTGGGCCCACGAGTGGCCCCGCGGTGCGCGGCCTGCCGGCCGCTGCGTGCGGTGCGACCGTGGCGGCCGTAGCGTGCTCGGGCCGAGCCCCGCCGCGCCCGACCCGAAGGCCGCGCACCGCAGGGCACTCCGGCCGGGGCCCACTCTCGCGCGGGGCCGACTTCCCCGCGCCTCGCCCTGCCCAGAAGAAGCGGACCGCCCCAGGCCTCGCCCTCCCAAGGCCCGCGCTGACCTTCGCGCTGTGGCCGCGCGCACCAGGTGCTGCGACCCCTGCAGCTGCTGACGGTGCTGCGACGCGGCTACCATGTGTGCTGGCACGATGCGGGCGCCGTCTGGGAACGCCGACGGATACCTGAACCTGCTTAACCGACAGGGTGAGGTTATCTGGGGACGGGGGGGCGAGCCCGATAACTCGGGTTATCGCCAGACCCCCAAAAAAGGCGTGCAGCGCTCCAGGGGCGCCGCCAGAGGCGCTGCCAGGGGGGCCAAGCGCCGATTCAAGAAATCCGTACGGACCTTCGAAAATTATTAGAGTAGGTTCCTCTCGACCATCATGATGCGATTGGTTCAGGATTCCTGCAGCTCCCAATGGCCTAGGCCATTCGCACTCGGCCATCCGTCTATGGCCGCGCGGGGCAACACGAAAACCTGGAACTCTTGGGACGCATCATTGCCCTTGCCTCTCCGTGGAAACGGCCAGGGGGTCTGACCCGATTGGGGCCCCAAATCTGCTCAAAACTGGTCCCCGGACCCCTCTCGTGGTCCATCTGGTGCAATTTTTCGCCCTGGACCCGGTTTTATTAGGTTCGTGGGGCCCGAAAAACGGTCCCCAGATAACAAAAAGGCATTAACCTGCCAACCCAGAACCTTGAACGTGCCCGCCCTTCCTGCTGGCTGGAACCACCGCTGGGCCACCTCAGACCCCCAGATCCACCTCCTTCCTCCTCCCTCCCTCTCCTCCTCCTCTGAATGTGTTCCTCCCTTTTGGGGGGGGGAAAAGGGAGAGAACGAAGATCTGTATCCTTGCCCTCCTCCGATCCTCCGAGCTCTTGGAACGCATCATTGCCCATACCTCTCCACCTCCTCCGACCACCTGTTGCCCCCCCCCCCGCGCGCCGACGGCCCCGGACGCGTTCCCTGCCAGGCATCCGCCGAGCCCTTTACGCCGGCGCGGCGGACTCTCCGGCCTGGGGAAGCCCAGCGCGCGGGGAAAAACGCGAATGCCGCCACGTGCGCGAACCAGGGCCTTCGCCCCGGCGCGGGGGGCATTCGCCCCCTGGCGGGCACAACCAGCAGAGGAGGCAGCGGATCCGCCTCCCCCTCCTCCGCACTCCTCTGGGCACAAGAGAGAGCGAGAGAGAAGACAGAAAAACAAAAGAGAATGAGTGTACATTGAAGTCAAAACTGTTGAAGAAGGTTGGGTTAAAAGGAAGACGGCTCTTACCACGGCTATGGTTATTGTTCCCCTTGCGAAAGAGCGCGCCGAGAAGGTATTGCACCCGTCTGCCCAACCACGGGTTCGAAGGGCGTCCAATATGGCCCCGAATAGCACGGGAACGCCTGAGTGACGGCTCAAGATGGCTCCGGCTGTACCAACGCAGCCCTGGGCGTGGCTCGAGGAGGCCCAAGGAGATTTTGTGGCGGCTCGACGTGGCTTTGGGTCCGCCCAAGAATGCCCCCAACATGTATGTATGTATGTATGTATGTATGTATGTATGTATGTATGTATGTATGTATATATATACGCATAACAGAAAGCACAACTCATGAAAATCCCTCTCTCTCTCTCTCTCTCTCTCTATATATATATATATATGTGCGTATAGCTCCAAGCCACAAGGAGGCGATCTAAGACAGAGGAAAATATGAGGAAGAGGAGCGACTGACGGGTGGAAGGCGAATGAGGAAGAAAGGGAACAGAACAGGAAGACCAGGAACAGGATTGGGAGGAACAAGGCGCAGCGGGAAAATACGTATTGTTCGAGGTACACGCTACCACAATCTCGATGCAGGCGCATGCAGCTGGCAACATCGGCTGGAATTGTTGTTAATCTTCAAAAGCACCACCTGGGAACGACCACG